TACCTCTTGTTGAAGGATGCCGAGGGGGCGAAAGAGGATCTAAAGTCCATGGCGACATCTGTTCATAAAGTTCACTATTAATTTTGTTATAACATTCTACATTTTCAAATAAGCAACCTTTGCACTGAAACCCGCTCGAGGTGTTGATGCAAAAGGGAGTGCACAGTGCTGAAGATATAAATTAGAGAGTTCGCAAGGACGGAAGTCCATATTGAAATTATCGGTCAACTGGGTCATTACGCACCTCAAACTCTTCTGATGATAATATCGCATTTTCATCGTTTCCATTATCTCCAGCCATATGCGAATCAGAGACCTATAGTCCATCTAATAATTTAATAACAAAGCTGTAATCAAACTAGCTCACAGCACGAATTCAAGAAAATTCTAAATCAAAATATATTTGTAAAACCTTTCGAATAATAAACAAACAAATTTTGTTTTGTATCAAAAACACATTTTTTGGAATAAAGCCACCCCACCTCTGCATTTGAATCCTGATGTGAAACGTTCTCTGAGTATATTGATTCCTCTACGACTTCTTCACTATCATCGCTGAGCTGGAATGCTTCAGAGTGAACACTATATTAACAAACTCCATAGTAACATTAGCTGATTTAAGATGTCATAGATGTTCTGTGGACTATTCAGTAATAGACATAGCCAAATGTAAGAGAATGGCTGTTGATGAAATTCCGGATAAAGTTCAACATCATATTGTGGAAAAAAGACATTATTGGAAAAATTACAAGTAATTTCTTTGAAGACGTGTTTCACTCCTACATACTGAGCCAAAGAGCCAAATTATATCCGAATTTCTGGTCTTGCTTTAACGATTACCTCAACAACGCTATCGGGGTGTCCGCCAGACACAGGAGAACCATTAGATTCGCCGTCATCACTCAGCTGTAAAATTAGAAGATAAGAACAAAATGATAGTTGGAAAAATATGGAATTGTAAGTTGAGGCCGAACCAAGTCATCATGTTCAAAGAGCCACCTCTAACAGCGATTTGACGAGATCTGATTTGCAAGCCAAATTCCAACACTTTTCTACAATACTTCAAAAACTAGTCACTTTGGGCTTCAAATTTCCATTGGGAATCATCTAACGGACCATATACCGTAAGATACGTCTTAGTGTGGAGAACGGTAGACAGCGAAGGGCATGTTGCTTGCTAATGGCAAAATTTATATTACAAATCATATCCTTGTAGTAGCGACCTGCATATAAGGCCAGGTAGAAATTCAACTAATTAGGTTACTCGACGTGCTAATGCGAAAAGAAAGCTTTGATCATAGAGCTGCATGAAGAAAAATCCCGTCTCTAAAACCTTATACTCAATCATGCCATTTAATGAAAAAATCTGACAAGAGTTCAAACTTTCGTTCATGCAAACCAAAAAAAAAACTGAGCTTGGACCGGCTAAGAACACGTAAGAATTTTTACTAGTAAATTACCTTTAAGGTAGAGAAGTGTGGAACAACCTACATATTCCATAGCTGATGACTTGTTCCTATATGTATGAAAAGACTTCTGGTTTGACATTTTTCCAGCAAGCAATAGATCCTAGACTCTGTAAAAATGTGAAATACCAAATTCTACATAATATTAAAGCAGCATTTACCC